CGCGACGCACCAACGACCATCGCATACACACGCAATTTAGCCGACTCGACACTGGCAACGAACATGACAACACCACAGGATGCGGCTTCGGCAGCAGAGGGCGCAGGAATTTCGCAAGCCGCGTCCACCAATGAGCAGGTAGAGATCAAGCAGGTGGAAGAGCTCAAGTGAGTGGGCGCAAAGCGATACGTGTCGTCTGCATGTCGAGAGCAATGTCATGGCGCCAGCGGTTCAGCCACACGCGTGCGCAATAGCTGACCATTCGCCATGATCTGCATGCTGACAGCGAGGATGGAACGCCGCTGTCGGACAATCAAAAGAAGAAGCGAGCCAAGGCGTTGGAAAAGGAGCGCAAAAAGGCAGAGACTGCTGCCAAGGTGGCCGCGGAAAAGGAAGCTCGGGAGAAGGCCGATGTGGTGCGTTGCGTTGAGCGTGTCGGCTCAGACTACTGGCATCACGCGAGCGTGTCGGCTCAAATACTCGCATCACGCTCACAATCTCGCCCTCGCTCACGCCCTTGCCCTCGCCCCCACCCCCCAGGACTTTTCCGCTCAAAATTATGGCGCACTGCCGCTCAACCAGTCGCAGGAAAGGACGGGCAGAGCGTATGCCAGCATCGCCCAGTTCAATGGCTCTCGCGATGGCGAAGCAGTCTTTTTCACTGCCCGCATTCAGACATCACGTTCGCCATCGGGTGAGTGCGCGGTGCGCCACCGAGGCAGTGCAGCGCAGCGATAAGCATTCCCGCTCATCTTGCGCGCCCCGCTCATCTTGCGCGCGCCCCCTCCGCAGCCAAAATGGTCTTTTTGACGCTGCGCAACCGCTTCGATTGCGTGCAGGCCGTGCTCGCTCAAGCTCCAGAGCGCGTATCGAAGCAGTTCGTCAAGTGGGCGGCCAGTCTGGTCCCCGAGACGCTCGTCGCAGTCGAAGGCACCTTGGTCAAGTCTCCTGTGCCCATCGAGTCAGCCACGGTGACGGTCAAGGATGCAGAGGTGCGCATCTCCAAACTGCACGTCATCTCTGCCATCACCACCGACGGCCCTCTGCCCTTTTACGTCGACGAGGCGGTGCGCTCGGATGCCGAAGTGGCCGCATCTCAGAGCACCGACAGGCCAATGGCCACGATCGGTCTGGACACGAGGCTCGACAATAGGGTGCTCGACCTCAGGACGGTGACCAATCAGGCCATCTTTCGCATCCAGCACGGCGTCTGTCGACTGTTTCGCGAATACCTCGAAGACGCGGACTTTATCGAGCTGCACACGCCCAAGTTACAAGGCGCGGCCACCGAGAGCGGCGCTTCCGTCTTCAAGGTCAGCTACTTTAAAGGCGATGCTTTCCTGGCACAAAGCCCTCAGCTTGCCAAGCAAATGGCCATCTCTGCCGACTTTGGTCGCGTGTACGAGATTGGCCCCGTTTTCCGCGCAGAGGACAGCAACACGCCTCGTCACATGACCGAGTTTACCGGTGTCGACTTGGAAATGGCATTCGACGAGCACTACCACGAGGTGCTCGACCTCTTGCGAAAGCTCTTTTCCTTTATTTTCCAGCAGCTGCCCAAGCGCTACGCTCGCGAATTTGCTCTAGTGAAGCGCCAGTACCCTGTGCCAGACTTTGAAGTGCCAGACGAGGTGCCTCGCATCACCTTTCAGGAAGCGGTGGACATGCTGAGAGCGGATGGTGTGGAAATTGCCGACAATGAGGATTTCAGGTGGGTCGCATGTACACCCATAATAGGAATGTGCTGCGCATATACACCCATAGTAGGAATGTGCTGACGTCGGCGCGCTACCCTCATGTCTGCCAGCACGGAGCAAGAGCGAAGGGTGGGCGCGCTCGTCAAGGAAAAGTATCACTCTGACTTTGTGGCTATTGTGAGTTGGCGTGCGGTGCTTGCGCGCGTGCTAGCCTGCGCGCGATGCTCAAGCCGTCGTCTTTCTGCAGGACAAGTACCCGCTCGCGGTCAGGCCATTCTACACCATGCCCGACCCGCAAAACCCTGTGAGTGAAGCGCGAGCGCACTGTCCACTCACCTCGCGGCACTGTCCACTCACCTCGCGGCACTGTCCACTCACCCCGCGCGCCCGCACGCGCTCCATCGCAGGCCGTGTCGAACTCGTACGACTTTTTGATGCGAGGACAAGAGATTCTTTCGGGAGCTCAGCGTGTCCACGATGCCGGCTTGTTGGAGAAGCGCATGGCGGAAGCTGGCATCAAGCCTTCGGACATGCCCTCCTATCTCAACGCTTGTGAGTCACGAGCGCTGTCAAAGGTTTCGAGGCGTGCGCGACGTTGACAACGAGTCTTTCTGGTGCACGTCACGTAGTCCGATCCGGATGTCCTCCTCACGCTGGCGCTGGTATCGGGCTCGAGCGCGTAGTCTTTTTGATGCTCGGACTAGGCAATATTCGTCGCGCATCGCTGTTTCCCCGCGACCCCAAGCGTCTCGAGCCTTGAGCAGCGCAAAACAAAAAATGGCAGCACCCGCAGCAGCAATTTTAGTCAATTTCCGAAGCTCTCTGACTGGGTCCGCAGGTTCGAGTCGTCGCGTCGAGCACTTGCTTGATCTGAGCGCGCGCGGATCGATGATCAGGCGATCGTGCATAGAAACTTTCTCCCCGATCTCTAGAATGTCGTGGTGCGCCAAGCATGTGGCACCGAGATCGTGCTGTTGCCTCTTTTCTTTTTTCCTTGTCGCGATGCAAAGTCGCCTCTTCCTTATCGCGTTATCGCGTTATCTACCAACACGCGCGCGCATTCGCGCGCAGGCGGCGCGCGAGCAGGTCAAGGTGCGGCAAGTGTTTTGAAGGAATTCCCACTTAAAGGCACGCACTCGACTTTTTGATCGGGTAAGCCTTGCTAGCGACGACACTTGTGGGCGCGCACACGCCCAATCACGAATCTCTCAGTCGTCGCACCCACGGCGTACGGACCGTCGATTCCTTGGCGTGAAGATGACCTCGACGACTCACCGACGATCGTCTCGTTACCAAGGCGAGGTTTGGTCCATAGCGGCCGGAACTGTGCTAGGCAGCACGGCCGTGGGCGCCGCGAGTCTGGCGTGGGTAGCGTGGAAATGGTATGAGAGCTCGAGAAAAGCTTCAGCCTCATCAAGCAGTCAAAGGCGAGCAGAGGTCGGAAAGGGGGGCGGAATTCAAGATGCGGTGAGCAGCGGGCGCGCGCGCGCTCAACTCACTCACTAGACTGATCATCCGCCTATCGACATTCACGTGATTAGGGCTTGACAGCTGCTGACGAGCGATCCAGCATGTCCATCGCTCTGCCAGCCGACTTTCAGCGCACGCAAGCGTCTTTGCATTCACTGCGAAAATTTCTCCAAGTATTGTCTCGTGCACATCTGGTCCACCTCTTGGCCTCTGCTGTCGAGGGTCCATCGAGTCCCCTACACGTGGAGCTCAGAGGTATCCCAGGCTACGATACGAGGCGCACGCTAGAGTACAGGAATGCAGGCGCAAAACGGATGCTGGTTGCTACGATGCGGTGTTGGGTTCAAGTAGAGGTTCGGCGCAGCGCTGCAGAGCACCACCACAACAGCGATGGCGCAACGGCAGACGTGGGTCGTCCATGCAGCTTGCAAGTGATTCTGATCTTGCCAGACGTTGCATTAGCAACAACGAATCTCGACGGTGACCAGACGTGGTCATGCACCGAGCAAGGCCTGCAAGATGCTTCGGCGGGGCCCACATCATCGGCGTGCCACGCTGTAGGCAACATTCGTGTCGTCGACTTGCGCTGCGAAGCGGACGCAGAGCTGGCATGGATCAGAGCAGCTCGCCAAATCACAGACCTCGCTGCCGAGCGACGTACCGCGTCTAAAGCATTGTGTTAGGGGCGCACCGCTCGATTGAAGGCCTCTCCTCTTGGAGTGAGCAGACAGTCGCGCACGGAATCTAATGCCACCATCTGCGCGTCCGTGTGTGTGGCCTGCTTTGCGACCATCGACGGAGGCGCCATCACCTCGAATGGAAGGCCGGGGGCCAGACTTCAAGAAGGGTAATAATCAAATCGTGAATCAAATGATTATCGAGCAAACGCTGCACATGTGAGCCGTGCGTGCATGTGACTTAAAGTCGTGAGTCGTGAGGCGGCAACGTTAGCCCAAGGTCTGTGCTATGATGGAAGCGTGGACCCGCGGCGGGTGTTGACGTGACGCGTCGCGTTGCGAGTCAAGAGTGATGTGCTTATTAATAATTGCGATGTGCGGATGGATGTGCGCAGCAGTGGGGAGTACCGTAAATGTCTGACTGCGTGCATGCACGGCACGGCACGGCATTCGTGACTTCTCCTGAAGCGGACGCGCGCGCGACGCCCCTCTCACATGCGCGTGCCCATGCAGCACATGCAGGGGGAAATCTGACGACGTGTCCGCGCGCCTTCTGGCTCCTGCGCTGCCTCGATCGCGTCCATGCAGACGCAGCGCTGTGGGTCACTCTTCGCAGTGAGCAGCATCATAACACGCCCGCCCGCCTGCTGCTGCTGAGATGGCGGTGCAACAATCGTGAATCGTGGATCAAGCAACGCAACAGGCGACATGCACGAGCGACTTGATTCTCACTTGCCTTTCCCTGCCAGAGGCGCGGGCGAGCGGGCGGTATACGGGACCGCGCATACAGCCGAAGCCGAGAGTTGACCCGACCGAGCCAAAAGTCCAACACCACCGCCCTGGCCACACGCCATCACCACGCCGATTCATTTACAACAGCATCCTTAGCTCTCGCCATTCGCCTGATCTTCACAGTCTCGCACGCCTGCATACACACATCAACACTTTCATCATGCGACCCTGAGTAGATTTCATCCACGCACCGACCACTTGAAATTAGCAGACAGACAGACGCCTTCTCTGCTCTCGCAGCGGGCCGACATCCTCCACGATGGTGCTACAAGTCATGCAGCCATCTGCCCAAGTCTCGCCAGTCGATGGCAAGGCAGGTCGAGATGTGAGCGGTGAAGCAGAGAAGCTGCTGGTGGAGAGTCGCAAGTCGGCAGGCGTCGTTGCCGCCATCACCGGCTCGAGCGCATTGAGCAGGCTGGCTGCCAGTGGTCCCAGTGAGTCGGCATCGCAGGGTTGAACCTAGACTCAAGAGGCGCACAAGCGTGTGCTCTAACCTCCGCTCTCCTCACCAATCACGCGCGCAATGCTAGCCTTGCTACCCACCCAAATTGCCGAATTTGTCACCTCGCTCTCCCTCTTGGCGCGCGTCTCTCTCAAGTCTGCCGCCTTCTTCATCGAAGTGGTGCTGGAAGGCGCAAAGTACGGCACAGGATTCGGCCTCGGACTCACTCGTCGAGCTCTCATCTCGGCCGTCGGCTCTGCTCGTGCTCTTCATGCTATAAAATCCGGCGAGGACTGGAAGCCGGGAGAGCTGACGCACGATGACCGGTGAGAGCGCGGACAGGGACAGCTGCGAACGAATATGCTCCGTGGCAATGCCTGCTGATCGCTTCGGCAATGCGACCTCCTCCAGCGACGGATTTCTCGCGGTCCTGGACAGGTACACCAGGTGAGTCCCTCGACTGCAGGCCTGCACGCACTCTGCTGAACACACCCCGCACGCACTCTGCTGATCACACCCCGCACGCACTCTGCTGATCACACCCCGCACGCACTCTGCTGATCACACCCCGCACGCACTCTG